GTCGCGTGATTTCTGCCAATCCATCTGCTATTCTTCTATCTTCGCTGAACAAGTTCTTGGAGGCAGAGAGCTGTGACATGTAGGTTTGCATGGAGCGCTCCATTGTTTGCAGTGTTTGGTAGGCGGGTGCATAGGCGGTAAGCTGCGATGTGCAGAGAGCGAAGAGGTCTGGAATTCTGGAGGGATTGGATGGCATTGTGATGGCGGCGAATTTTATTATCAAGAGGGATTATAGGGGTTGGTGCTGGGAGGCTATAGTACGAGGTGGTGAGTTGGGGTGGGTTGACTGGTGTGGGCATGGTGGATACGTACGAGTGTAGTCGACTGATATTCAGTGCGATGTGAACGTTGGATACTCCAGTCTTGGAATGAATGATTCGTATAGGATGAAGATTTGTGTAGTGTGACAGGGCTAAGTGAATCTGATGTTGCTATTCACTCCGTTGTGCTTAGGGGTCCGTGAATCTAAGTAATGTCGTTCAAGGTCGTAAGGTTTCGTGTTGATCATGTACAGGATGTTTTAAAATGTATTTTAAAACGTGGATATGTGTAGTTTGTGTATGTATGGAGGAGGGGTATGCCTAGCTACTATGGTGGATGCCTCAGGCGTCAATTCACCGACTCTCGTAATTTTCGTCGACGGCGTAAGGGGTTGTAATAGTAGAGTGTGAAAATTCTTAGTACAATGTTTAGAGTGTGTTCTGGTATTGTAGATGTGTGTGACGTGATTGGGTGGGCCAATGTGTTCTGGTGGATGCCTCAGGTGTCAACTTCGAAGACACTGACGTCTCGTGATGTTCGTGATAAGCGCGAGGGTTCGTGACGACGGTATATAGGACGTTGTTCGATAATTCGCAGAATGTAAAGCTATAGTGCGTATAGATGAAGGTATCGTGGAAGGGTAAGACTGGATATGGTGGTGGGTGCCTCAGGCGTAGAAGAGTAAAGTGTAAACGGAGTGTACATCCTCTAAACACCAACAGGACTAGATTTTATATCCTATAGGACTCTGGAGTGTTATTAATACCTCTCAGAGTCATATGGGGGGCTGTGGTGGCGATGGCTGTGACTCCAAGAAAGTGATGACTCGACACTTTGAGAGTTATTTTGAGTATCATCTCGTCTTTGATCAGACGGTAAGAGTAGAAGTATACACAAAATTGCACGAGGTGTGAGAATAGGCTTTGAAGAAGCTCAGGGGCGAAGTTCACGGTCTTGAGAGCTTGAATTGTTGAGATAGCAGGGGGTATCCAGATTGAAGGGAGATGGTGAAGGGGTAACATCAATCAACTATTCGTGAATATTAACGACCAAAGGCTACCAAAACTTCAAGATGGTACATGATAGATCCTTATTAGCATTTTACTCAATCGAATAGGTCATTTCACGTCTATCAACACGGTATAAGAACACACCACTGTGACATTCACACTACTTATTTACTGACTTTACACACAACGAGTAATTAGATCACTGAATATCACATTCATACCTGGCTGTAAGGTCATTCATATGTTTAATACTCCGAGATAGTATCATGGGGGAATCACAGGGACCCTAGGATAACAGGTAACGTTGAATTGAGATTCACAGAACGTGGGTGTACTTCCCTCTAGAGACAAAACCAAGTATTCATATAACACATAGATATCTATCGCTAACAAGAAACGCCTTTATCTCTCACTATGATGCCTAACCAATAACCCTGTCTATCACATCAATATGCCAACGCTCTCTTCTCTGCCAAAATAAATCCCAATGTATTTCAAGTCTCTCCACCATACCCCATGTTTTATCAGCTATAGATGTTAGCCTCTGTATTGCAATAGTCACGTAGAAACACAATAGAGTAAACCCCATAGCTACAGAAAAAAAGAAAAGACACTCACCTCGTCCCGGCTGGTGGTGCGCTGCCGCAATAGGGGTTGACTTTCGGAAAGACGCATCCATGCTCGCAAACGCAATTTGGTGTATTTTTGTCACAGCAACACGTAAGATCAGGGAGTCTTCGCGTTTGACATGTTGGTGGAACAACAATGGTCTGAGGTCTGACGTTTGGTTGTGGCATGGCCGCGACGCCAAATGCGAGACTTGCGAGTATAGTGAGGGTAGATAATTGCATTCTAGCGTGAGTGGATGAGGTTGGCGTGGATATGCTGAAGTTTATCTGGGAAGATGTGATGAGATGTAGGGAGTACCTTGTGTGGGAACGCGGTATGCTAAATAGTAGGCGAAATCCAGCATTAAGTGGTCTATATTCCAGTCGCATCGGCGATTTAACTACTCGTATGAAATGCCGGTCGTTTTCAGGGTTGTCTTACCAGGAGATGTACTCACGCGATGGATTTCCTGGCTTCGGAAGAACGGGATGTGATTAACTGTTCCGTAAGTAGACTACTAGCCCATCTTTTCTACAAGGCAATACCTAGTTACATGAACTTGGCACCTAGTAAGCGACATCGAAGCTTGTCAGACCTGACCCAGCCCATCAGAAGGGACTATGGTCCCCCGTATACGAATGAAACCCTACAGTTCAGCTTGATGATAGATCTCATGTGTTGATTCGAACAATGATGAGGGTACTTTATTGGGGGAAGGTTGTACGAGATTTGGACTTAGTTTAAACAAAGCTTTACGGCCGTTCTTGTAAGCGGGATTACCCGAAGACTGTCAGGTACACGAGAAGTGGCGTGATTCATATACTTGAGTAGCGCTGGTACGTGGAAATTACGCCGGATCCTTTCGGACACAGTCAGATCGTAATCGTACTCCGGCAGTGTGCGGATTGAACCGTTTCACGGATGTCGAAGGAAATTCTCCGGATCTTGGCAGCTACTACTACTACTAATTCTATTTCCAGCCTAGACTAATTTTAAAGTAAGCAGGCTATGCTTTTATCCCTAAGAGGACTCTGTTAGGGTAATGTTGGTTGCTCTTAGTTTCGAGCCACCGTACGTACGTGGCGAGCACGTGACTACGTGCGTGGCCCGTGCCGTGGGGTGGGATTCAGTTCGTACGCGAGCTGCAGCGCACCTCCTCTAATCAATCATAACCATCTACTTCAACTCGTTGCAACGACCGTTACTTGATTCAACCTCACCTTTGCCGTATCAACAGGTAACAAGAAACTTGAGTTATAGCAGAGTAATACTAGGCTGCCTTGTTCGCTGCTATAAAGCTTATCTAGAAATATTAAACTACGTAGGTAGCAGCAAGCACATTTAACATCCCGCACTCTCTTGGTCTATCAAGACACCATGTATATCTATGGATCTTGGCAGCACTGGGCAAGTCTGCTGGAAAAGGTTAACCAAAGGCAGATAAGGATGGGAAACGTATTATTAGTCCACAGAAAAAAAGGATGTTTACATTTGAGTGTTAGCGTCTAAGTTAGACCGGCGAAAGCGTCAAAACGTAAGTGGTATCTATCCGTGTCCTTCCGCCATGTTTCATGTCCCTCGTACGGCGTTACTATCCAACCATTATACCCAAGTTCTTGCTTTCTGTCAAGCATCAAGGTTGGGGAGAATCATGTTGTATTAGAGCTATCGGAAAGCGGTCTATATGCGCAGTGGGAAGAGGCAGTGAAGGAGCTAGGCCGTAAAGGTACTAGCGGGTAAATGGGTGGCTGCCTGGTTGCCTAAGGAGGAGCCAAGGGATAAGCCCTATGGCCGACACTTTCCAACACACAAAGACCGCCAGTACCATATGCTGCAATATCGTCCCTACAAGAACAGGAGACCAGCACCTCCCACAAGTATAGCCATACCCGCGCTGCCGACCTTCGCAGCAGCGCCCGTGAACTGTGGGAGCGACGAACTGCTTATAGCGTTGGGCGCTTTGGAAGTTGAGAGAGCGGCGGAAGCAAAGCTGGTTGGTAGCGCAGGAGGCCGCGTGGTGGATGACTTCGTCGAAGTCGAGACGGTATCGTCGGACGTGGATGAGGAGTCTTCAGTAGCGCTGTCGACAGGCGTCTCGGCCGGGATGTTGGACGATACTTCAGTAAGGCTCGCAACAGGGATGACGATCGACCCAGTGGGAGAAGGCACTCCACCGGTAGGCGCATCAGGGATCAGAGAAACTGAGATACCGAATTCTTGAGCACATTTCTCAGCGGTGATGCCTTCAGGGCAGCAATAGGTGTTCCCTGCGCCATCGTTGGTGCAGTAATCTCCTGGGCCACAGGCATCTATATATTGCGTAAGCAATCTTGTTAAACAGAAAGTTGTTAACGACTTACTTCCTGTCCCATCGGTACAGCAGTGAGTGCCGTCAAGAGTGGAGTGACACCTCAGGAAGTTGGGATTACTGGATGGACATTCGACTTTATCCGCCCCACATATCTCCTGGCATGTCGTTCCCGAGCCGTTGCAGATATCACTCTGGGGATAGTATCCTTGACGCTTGGTGAGAACCTCACCGCGCTTCAGCATGGCACCGAAGCTGCGAGCATTGGTGAAGCTTTGTGTAGCCGCCACGGAGGCAGACAGTATGGCTACGGTGATGATTTTGGCGTACATCGTAAAGATATCTACTAATAGATGGTAATTGGATAATGGAGAGTTCAAGGTTAGAGAATTGATACAAGACACAGTGATGGAAGATGCAGAGGCTATTTATCGTCTCTTTCACTGCCATATATCCAGAAGCAAGGCTTTTCATTTCAGCCCCCACAACATCACAGCGCATAAAGATACTCAGAAGGCGAGATTCCACTGCCGCTAGCGACCATAGACAGAAAAATTGACCAATGCGCTGGGCCGGGGAGACATCGCTCGCTTCCCCCTCGAACCTCTTACCATATTTTACACTTATGCCAAGAGGAGAGGCCGATTTATCCCGTATATGGCACGGGAAATTAAGTAGTCGAGAGCGCCCCGAGGAAGCTGAACAGTCGTGCAACCAATCAGCCTTTTCGTGGCTGAACGCCGTCAAAGGATAGAGTATCGTGGACTTTGTTGTCCATATATACGCGAAGACAAGTTGACTATATTTGTACCAGCTGAATGAGCGCGGGGAAGAGGCGGTGTCACGAGGCGTGGTTGTATGCATATGTTAGTTCATTGACCAGTCAGGAGAACAGGCTTAGGCAGTGAAACGTTCCATAACTGCGAGGATCTGGGGCATGCGGAACTGCATTTCGAGTGACTGAGTATGCGAAATGTACTCTGAAGGTGGTGAGTTGGTGTATGCTTCAAAGTACGATGTAGTGCGGCTGAGGTTGACTATTTGCCGTCAAGTTATGGAGCGATGGACTGGCTTGGTGTTGATTCTAGCCGACGCCACCGTTTCGAAGTCCGCCCTTACGCTAGTCCTTTTGCAAGATGACGCTCTTCGAAGACAGGCTTGGCAATATTCGTGCTTTCCTGCCTTACCACTCAACCCCAACACCCACGAATTCAAGTTACCTAATTACGCACCTCGATGTTAATAATGTACTTGCATTACGCAGGTACCAGAGGGTATCGGAGATCTTTCAGCCATGTGTATCTTTCTTTTTCTGAGCCGGTAACGCTGTGTTCATGCGGATAATTCGCAACTCAACACAGTTCCCTTGGGAAAAAGGATAGCCTGCATGCTCATTTTGAGATCAGTTCGGGCTGGAAATAGACTCAGTAGTAGTAGTAGTAGTAGTAGATAATTCGCACGCGTCAGCTTCGCGACGACGGTGCACAAGCGGAAATTTTGGTGTATGAGCTTGCATAGATCTAGATTTCGGATAGGCTCATTTGTCGAAGATGAAGGGCGGCTAGATCCTGTCATCATAGGCTCTGCTACCACACACGCTGCACAAGAGATAGTGAGGCGGAGTCGAAGAGCTAGAGTCACTATTCATAGACCATGACAGCGTGGTGGCCCAAGTAGGCAAGGAGCTGCCCTTGTGCGTGGGCTTCAGTGCAAAGATCAAGCACCTTATAGGTAGACGAGGCTTTGGCGACTGCCCCTGTCTGGCACAAGGTCCTTGTTTGCGTATTGGAAATGGCATGTCTATAAGTACTCTGAGCTCTTAGATGTATTCACAACCTGAAACTCTAGTTCGTATCTACTTAGATCAGCACTTCAATGCCAATATATTCAGGGAATCAAGTTATAAACATTAGTGAAACATCTATAGCACTGTACTGTGGTGTAGTAGCTTGTCACGTGTTCGGCGTTAGGTAATCGGCGCTAGGGTTGAGTATTTTAGGGCGACTCCGCGAGGAGAAGCTCGACATCACCTTATCAGCTATCGTACACCATTCTTAATACTACCGATTGTTACTCGGATACCTTCTTATTCTCTACTCTCTACTGATTGCGGGTCGGCAGCCTCTCTTCTGACTATTGAGACTATCCCTCTACCACAGTACTCACATTACATTCTAATCAATTCTTAGACATGAAAGACATGAACAGGATGAGAAAAAAAGTTGATGAAATATATACGAATCATGACGCGTTATATACCCTCCCATCTCCACCCCTTCAGAGCATGGACTTGTCGATACCACACAATCGCACTCTCTCCTCTCACGACTTCTTTCTCCCTACAACGAGCGGAATCCTAACCCCCCCCATCTTCCCCACCGCCTCACTCAGCATCATCCTCAACGCTGCCTCCAGCCTCCTATCCTTCTTTCTCCGCATCCACAGCAGTACAATGCCCAATATAAAGACATCTACAGCAATATGCCTCACGCACGCCGAAACCCAGCGCCAGATGCCGCGGAAAAGGCGGTAATGGGCCGAATGTGCGAACAACCTCCTCGCCTCTAATTGTTCGCGGAGGGCGGAAACTTCGGCCGTCATCTTCATGAGGCTCTGCTCCACGCGCTTTTTCCACTTTTGGTCCGCTGCGTTTTCTTTGGGTTCGTCTTTGGTTGGAGCAGCGGCGGCGGCGGCGGGCGTGGTGCCGAAGCCGGGGATGGGTATTTGTATGGGTTTGCCTAGAACAGCCATGCCTCTATTTCGTGGCGCGGGGGTGGGAGTCTGCATGGGTATTGGTTCCGCTCTCATGAGCTGTTGGAGGTCGGTTTGGACAGCCGCGTCTTCGAGACTGGGCTCATCGTCGGGGTAGGAGGTAGGATTGTATTGAGAGTCTGGGGCATCGACGAAGACTTCGCGGTCGATATTTGCCTCTTCTTCTTCGAGGGCTTCTTCGGATTGCGACATGGGCGATTTGACGCGCATGGGCGCGGGTGAATCTTCTTCTTGTTCCTGTTCCTCGTCGCGCGGGACCGAGTTGCGCTTGCTACGGTCGTATTCGAGAGTATTTTTCATGCCCATGGCTGCACGCCCGCTTTGGCCCAACTCGTGCTGCGAATATCCGGATTGGATGTGGTCTAGTGTGCGGAGTGGTGAGGATGAGGACGAAGACGGTACGTTTGATTTTACTTGGTCCCAGACAAATTCGAGTTCAGCGACAAGTTCGCGCGAGTCGGGCGACGGTGAGGCGTATTTGTGCATGGTGTCGATTAGGGTGGTAATGTACCGGCGTTTGGCTTCTGTGCGAGAAAGACCGTTTTGCTGTTTCCACGCATCCCTTTCTGCTCGTCAGTACAAGACCCATCACGGTGTCGCGTGCCCAGCGTACCATTTCTCTCGCGCTCGTTGCGACTGGTCGTCGGATCCTTTCGGACACTCCATTATGCCATCTACGTCACCCTCTGCGCACAGAATATCAGCCCTGTATTCATCTCTTGCCCCGCCATCTCCCCACCTCATCCCCTGGGCAAGAAAACGTACCCATGGCCTGCTTGTACAACCCATATAACCGCAATCTCGTCGCAGAAGGCGGTTTCTGCGACCCCGTGCGAATCTTGTTTACAGTATTGAGCGCATGACTAAACACTCGGTCTACAATGCCCCAAGTCAGTTTATCTGCCATGTTCCTTCCAAAAGTGGGCAGGATAAGAACATACCAACCGAGTCAGCCATTACAAGCGGTGATTACGCGCCCCACGAATGGGGAGCGTCGCATTGATCGGATATGGCGCCAAGGGAGAGTTTTCTCAAAGAATGTGCGCCCGAATCTTCACACAGGTAGTCATAACACAAGGCAGAGCAGAGTGGTAGACAATTGAAGGCGGATGGCATGCATGATGCCATGACATGCGGAGCCGGGGGGGACGGTGTGGAGAGGTTCGTTGTCGCGCAATCCTGGAGACGCTGGGGCCTCGGTTGCTCGGGATCACGCCGCGCTTGCCATGTGGCAGCGATACTGCACGTGTCTATGCATCAACTTCACCGCATTGTTTCATCTTCCCATTATCCGGGTTTGCCTCATTGCTGAATCTCGTCCTTTGATACTGTCGGCACTTCTTACGGGGCACGGGATATACCCACCGATTCGGTAATGTTTTCCGCAAACCTTCTTTCAGTAACGCGCGTCAAGGCAGTCATCGACCCACCCCGGTAGGTACATGGAAAGAAGGCGAGGGCCGCGATTCCAAAATCTGACGAGAGTCGTAAGAGTAGATTTCAGCATGCGGCTCATAGAACAGAGAACAATTCCATACAAGTACCTTGCCAGCCACGACACCAGTCACACAAAACCGGGTCATCGTCTACAACGGCCCGCAAAGAAGCGGTCGTTTCTTGGCGCTGCACGTTAATAATCGTCTCCGATGTTACTAGTGTGGGCTACTTTGACGACATGTCAACTACATCCTGACTCGTCCTCACAGTTAATTCGTTGTGATCACACCCCAAAGCGGATTTCAAGGCTCATATCTGTGCAAGGAGGAGTGTATTTGTACTTATCCGTAGTCCCCAGTACAGCAGACTTCTCCGCCACATATCCTAATGTTATCAAGGAAACTTGTCAATCCATCCATCTCGTTCTGAACATTCCCATCACAGGCGCAATGAAAGAATCCCCCGTTGTAGCCCATAGCAGATAAGCAACACTCGCACACAACTTTGACCAAAACCCATATATGTCAAGGCTTCATCATGTCATTCTTATGCGCATCGTGCATCTCGGGCCCTGCTCAATCAATTAGTCCCACCAATGTATGAGCAAGGATATGAGAATTGACATACCATGAAGGAATGCTTAGCAGTAGTTCTTGTATCCGCACTGCGACTTGCAGCAGTCGCTCAAACGGCAGGTGTCGACGCTGCAGGTGTAGGAGCACGAGGGAACGATCCAGCATCGCTTGTCCTGTGTTCATGCTTGTTAGCCTCGATCTTCACATCCCGTATCCTGGTATGCCCGCAAAAGAGAAAGGTGGTGAGCTTACACGGAGGCACTTCTTGAAGAAGTCGTCGCAAGTGCTGCAGGAGCACTCGCGCTTGTCGAGAGCGGAAGTGAGCTCGGAAGCGGAGACTGGAGACATGGGCGCCGGATCTGGGACGGCAAGGGCCATGGCAGCGAGCGTGGTGAGGAGGAGGGTGATGGTGAGCTTCATGCTGCGGGGTGTAGTCAGTAGATGGTGTAAGAAGCTGATTTGAGAGGTTATTCAGGTGGAGAGCTGAAAGATTCGGTGGTGGTAGAGAAGATAGGTGAAAGGCGAGAGGGTGTATATATATGTTGGAGAAGGGAGGACGGAGAGGACTGATAGGCGCTAGGGTAGTGCGAACGGGCGGGTTTGGCGCGGGGTCGCGAGGTTGAGCGGGTTGCTAGGTAAAGGCGCAGCTGAGCGGGTGAGCAAGTTAGTGAGATAAGGCAAACGGACATGAATGCCGCAATAACCGGATACGTCACAGTGGAAAAGAGAGGGATCGTGAGATAGCGGGCTTACGGGACAAAGGGCTGTTGATTAAGAGGAAGGAATGTCGAATTTGGGTGACAGATATATTGAGGGTAAGAGAGCTTCCGATAGCTTTCGAGTGCATTGTTGTGCAGCACCGAGTACACACAGCACGATTGATATTTGTATCTCCCAGTGGCATGCATGGCTGCATAGATGGACTAGAAGATGACAAAGAGGGCACTATTATTAGGTTATGAAGATGATAGTCCTTTGTGATCATGTAACTCGATGGTTTCAAGGTTAGTAAAGACACAAACACGGGCAGATGAAGCTGATATAAACGCAAGCATTACCGAGATTACTTCAAAGTATGCATGTGAATCATCAAGCAAAGTAGTTGAAAGAAAGAGTGAATTCTACTCTTTGATAATATGAGTCATGATGTCTGACTTCAAATCCATGTCTCAGTTCCCACTGACATTCGCAATGAAGAGCCCCGCAAGTTCAGCCGTGGATGCACCATGTCCCTCGCATCACAGTGCCTTTGTGCACACTACAACCTTTCCAGACTATCAAGGAACAACTCAACCAGATGGCAGTACTGACACCTTTTCAATATTAGCGCTCTTCATATCACGTCTAACTGTCCTCTTAAACTTACCTCTCTAAGTGCAGTGAGGGAAAGCGCACCTCCAAGCACATTCGTTGCGCGGGTTACCAGGGTCGTTGTCTTCTTCGCAGACTTTCGCCTCGCACTTGCGGTCACAGTCGCTGCCGGTGAAATGGCGAAGGCCGGGACAGTCCTATCAGTTCAATTAGCGTGCTATTAATCTTTTAAAGAGTTGACAAAGGGAGCATGGAGATACAGCTTAAACTAGACAGATACAAAGGGAGAGGAGAGGTCTTACATGGTCCGTGCAGGAATTGTATTTCGAGAGGCAGGCATTGCAGACCTTCGTGCCGGGATCATCATTGGCGACAACGACGGCGAACTTTATGATGAAGATGAAGAGTTCTTGGTGGTCTTGAAGCGTGGAGTGATGTTGATAAGGAGTGTTGATGGGTAAGGTTGATCGTAGTCGCAGTCACAGTGGAGTTGCTCAAGTTTGTGTGTGGGAGAAAACTCTGCGGGGACAGTGGGGGTTTTTATATCACCATGGTCGACGCTGAGATTTGTGGTCAACCGTGCGTATGATGTGGAGTGAAAGACGTGACTCAGTGGCAAATTGGGGAGCGGGAGCGCAATAGTACGTGTACCGCAGTGAGGAGTTGCCTGCAATCACGCGGTGAGAGAGAGGCAATTCGAGAAGGTAAGCGTGACTGATTGTAATGCTAAATTTCTGATTGCATCATTGCGTCGAAGGTATGAGTGTGATTTTCAACGGCTCAAACATGCGATGCCCGGAAACACAGACTCGAAGACTTCGACATATGACCTCCATTGGGGACTGACTACGCATCCCAATAGTGGCCTCTTTAGGAGAATTCACAACCGCTATTCAATCCTGGAGTCCTAGAGACCTCTCCATTTACAACAACTGACACCTGTTGATCGTATACTTGATTTGTTGCGGTTTGTGAGGCAAGGGTATTGCGCATGTCACGTGCGTTGTCCTGGCGCTCCTCCTTCCCCTCCATGAGCACCTTCTCCCCTCACCAGCATCAGAGATACGTCATGTAAATAGACCCTGATTATGGCTACATATAAGGTGGCCATGACAGCACAACAACAACAGAACACAATATACTCTAATGACGGCCTCGCGCGGTTACACTTTAATTGACTGTATTGTACTGCAACATGATTTGACGACATGAACATTCCTGCCCTGTAACTGCAAACACGCCACACGCCGCTTGCTATCTACAAGGGCTCTATTATTTCTCAATTACTTGGGAATCTTACGATACGGATGCGGCAAAGCGTTATCAGCTAAGTGTTTGCATGATAACCTTCTCATGCAAACGCCAAATGCCACAACACATGCCGGTGCCACCATCACCAGCGTCCGGCACTGACTCCTTGCAACTACTGTCCAAATTCGCGGCGTTTAAGAATGTTACTTAGAAATAACATGAGCACACAACAAGCTGTTATGGTTTTCGGTGGAAGACCAGGACATTTGGAAATGGGAATAAGATCATTCTGAGGCATCGACGTGCCGGGAAGCTCAGGTCATGGCCACGGCTCGGAGGTATTATTCAATTAAACCAAAATATCTTCATAGCTCTGCGAACAGACCTCTGAAGCTTTAAGTAAAGAGCCACCAGACTTCCCTGCTCATTGAGATGTCCTAGCGCCGCCATCCCTTCCATATATACCCTCAAACACCCACCTCATAACCCTAGAACGCCCATACACAGCCCTCACCAAACTAGCCCCAGCTTTCTTTCTCATCCCGCGGAAAAAGCTTCAAGGAGCTTTTTCCTACATAGGCTAACAGTTTACGAAATTACACTTCTCGTCGACGCACATAGAATACTTTTGACAAGTCTTGAGCTTTCACTACTTCTCGCACGGGTCCTTAGTAGAAAAGCACATTTAGCTTTATTAGCTAGCTTTCTACATCAAAATTACGAAGAATTATATTATCTAAAGAATAGACGAGACCTATAGCTTCGCAAGCGCGCCACATTATCACGCAATACCCGCAGCCCTCTAGCTCCGGTCCATGTTTGGGTCCTTTGTGGGCGACGGCAAGGGTAACGAAGATGGCAGCGAAGGGAGCGAAGCCGATGATGCGCATTTTAGAGTATGTCGGGTTTGCAGCCGTGTTTAGTTGATGGCAAGCTGGAGGAGCTGGGTGACGATGTTCAGTGTGAGTAGCAGATCAGCAGAGATCAATCACTTAGATAGAATGAGCAAATGAGGTACGCTAATTAAATATAATGATATATTTGTTGGTAGGGCTGTAGCACTAGTGCTGAAAGGAAATAACGATAACTAGGAATGCATGCTGTTCGGTGATAGTTCTGATTGATTGTCTTGCGAAGGGGAACTATGGAAGAGCTAGATATAGGAGGTCTGGTCTGAGCGCTGCTCGGACGCCGCGATCAGTGGGCCTGTCCGCGTGACTGATATCAGTGCGCCTGCTCGCGTGACCGAGATTAGTGCGGCCGATCGCGTGGCTGAGATATCGTTGATATCTGTGATCCGACAATATTGTTCGCGCGCATGTGTGAGTTACGCGTAAAAGGGCCTGAAAGGGTGAGACCAAAGGCAATCCAGGGTCTCAACAGGGCACATTAATCCACAGACCAGAATTCGCGCCCACTCATGGTATTGAGCGATACTTCGGGCAAGTAGAGAGCGCAGTGCCCTCGCCACAAATGACCCATCGGCGCACTCTTTCCCCTGCGCATTCCATCTCAGTCCAAACCCCTGTTCTAATCAAGAAAGGGCCATTTGTTGTTGCCAATCAAACAGAAACTAATTTTGCACTGTCGTTGCCTGCAAACCTCACTGCCGGCACAGGTGTTACTGGAGCATGTCTCATAGCACCACCATTCATTGGGGATACATCTCTACTATCTGTTAGCCTGAAATCGAGATATAAAAACATTGTTTCGGAAAATAGTGATGATGTTCATAAGAGACAGGGAACTGAATGTAGAGAGTACACGGGTGACATG